GATCCACATTTGAAAACAAGAGTGAAGGAAAGCATGGTATGCTGGCAGTGGAGAGATTTGGCAAGATAAAATTGTTAGAATAAATCCATCTCATTTGAAACAGTTAACAGATTATAAATTATTAGCTGGGCTTCCCTGTTAGCAACCTGTTTTAAAGTCAAATGAAGCAATGCCTTTGTCTTGGATCATCTCCCCACCCCTGCTGTTCCCTGAGGTTGTATAGCATCTGATCATGTGAATACACCTTATTTCAGATAATGCCAAGGTAGAAAACACTGATACTTAGTCTTTCATTTTGGGAAAACTGCATGGTCTGTAGGACAATGCATGCTAGCTTCCATTAGCATCATCGGCGGCAGAGACCCTTCTCCGGGAACCCTCCATGAAAGATATTAGGAGGGTGAGTACCCGGAGGAAGGCCTTCTCTGTGGTGGCGCCCCACTTAGGGAATGTGCTCCCGAGAGGTCTGCTTGGCGCTGTCATTATTTGTTTTTTGGCGCCAGGCCAAGACCTTTTTATTTAAACGATATTTTAATAATTGCTGGTTTTATTTATTGGTTTTAAATTATTAGCCAGGATGTTTCCAGATTTTTTATGTATTTGTATAGATATTTATTTATATGTTGGAAGCCGTCCCGAGGCTTATGCGAATAGGACGGCATACAAAAATTCCAAATAAATAAATAAATTAGCAAAACAAACAAACAAACAAAAAGCCCCCTCCAAACAGGAAACAACCAGTGTCAACACATGCACACACAACTCCTATTGTGTCATTAATCTCCTACTGGCCAATTTTAGGAGCGATAATGTATTTAGAAAAGAAGGTTGAAAGAAGCTCAAGCTGACTTGAGAGTTTAACAAAATTTATTTTATTTTTATTATTTTTATTCAGATATATATCAATAAATCAAGGACCACCAAAATAAATACACAAGGCAGCAAAACAAATTACCCTTAGTAATAAGTTAGTGAATTCCCAAGAGATGTGTCATCTCTTTTGGTTTTGTCACCAAGAAAAAATCCCCCTAAGGCGTCCTTTCCTTATAGTTGGGAATACTTCCAGAATCCAGCTAAGTAATGTTTAAACTTGAAAATTCTGGACAGAGATGACAGCTAAATAAATCTTTTGAGAGAGACAGAATGGGGGTGAGAAAGAGAGATGATTTTAGAGTACTTTACATGTTAAGCATTATCTACTTTAAGACTGCACACCTTGAAAACCTTCAAAGCATCTGAAACAAATCCTTCCTTAAAAAGCCAGTTTCTATCAATACCATATCATACTCTCATAATTCTATGCTCTTTTCAAGTTAGTTTTACAGGCTCTGCAATTGACAGCTTCTGAAAATTCTCTGAACACAAGCCACAAAGGTGCAGGCCGCTGAGACATTTGTTACCGAACAAGGATCCTTTGACCATCAGCTGAAAAGAGACTTCTGCAGTGGGACCAGATTTGACAGGCAGACTGTACCAGCACCTTTCCATTAACAAGATCTATTAATTCAAGTTGTCTTGAATTGGCAACTAAGATCTATCAGAGTTACAAAAGGCCTGCTCCCAGTAGAGATGACAACTGCTAAAACTGGTTTGGATCAACACAGCTCCTGAATTTTCAGACTCCCCTGGAGAACAAGGCTAGGGTCTGAGCATTTACAAAAATACCACTGTACTTCTGTAACTTATTGTATGCTACCCAGTGATGATCACTGAGTAGCTTTAATTAGTACAAAACAAGTGAGTCTAACTGCAGACAGTGTAAGTTTACCAGGATGAGAACCTATAGTGGGTAACTAGCTACAGTGGGTTGTTCTGACATCCAAACCAAGCCAGCTTCCTACAAGATGGCTTATTCTTGGGCAACAAACCACCCTAACAACACATGACTTGCTCTAGCAATTGTTCAACCCATGTTGGGTTGTGAAGTCATCTGTTCCTGGGATACCAATTCCACCGTAGACTCTAGTGACAGGAGAACAAGTTGCTTGGCAAAAGCAGCAAAAAACCTTGCCACTCTTTGCTACCTTCACCTTGACATCCCTGGTGACAGCCCTCTACCAATGCTCAAGCAACACTTTAGAAAGACTGTCACTGGTTTGCTACTCCTTTTTCTTTCTTGTCCCCACCTCTGCAAAATTATGCAACTATGTTTGGCATTAGGGGCATTTCTTAAATTAATCTTTCACAGGTGTGCAAGTACACAGCTGATGCCATCTGAAAAGTGTAGTCTTGCCTCGTGTGTTTCAGCTCTCAAAGGGTGTAACGAAGCGGAGTAGGTGACATACATGGAAACTGGCAAGACAAGATGCATATAAGGTAATGCCAGAGTTTTCAGCCATTAATTGCCTAGATGTCAACTGAAAAGTCAAGGTGAAAAGAAAGTATATGTACCAAAGGGGAGGGTGAAAATTTCTCTCTCTTAGCAACATAGTCCTCTGGCTTTTAAGAGTTGAACTGACAGTTTTCACTGTCCACTCCCATTTTGATATTACCTAATTTCCACTTACTGAAGAAAGGGGATATATTAACTATTCCCACACTCTGGAACACCCACTGCTACATTTACTAAGGTTCCCTGACAGCTCTAAAAATTAGATTTTAGAGGGTCTAGGAAATCTATGCAAATTTAATATCTGGAAAGTAAATGGAAGAAAAAATGTGGCAATTTAAGCGTAAGCAGTCAATGGAGGGGAAATTTGTGCAAGCTATTAAATTTGTTGCAAGCCATTAAATTTGTACATGTTTTTAAAACTATCAGGGAATTGCAGTAATTGCAGCAGTAAGTGCTCAAAAAAGGAAGTGCAAAAGGGGTTGAAGAATTAGTATCGCCTCTTTATAGAGCAGCTTGTTGAAAAGGTGAGAGTGCTGAAAACTGTCATTTCAACACTTAAAAGCCAGAGAATTTCAATGCTGAAGGATGATACTGCCACTACTCGCTTTTGCTACACCCAGTTCCCTACTTTTTCTCCTTTACTTTTCAATTGACAAAGCAAAACTACACATGCTAGCAAGCTGTAAGTGCACACTATTTGCATATCTTCAAAAGACTAACAAAAACAATAAGAATCTCAACAATGACCAACACAGATGTACAGTTGTCAGCAGCTGGAAAATAATGCCCATTATCCTATTCTGAAACTGAAGAAGAAAAAGGAGAACAAATGCAAAGGAGTAGTAACTTGAGTAGGGGAGGGAAGACAAAATGGATACTGCCACAAAGGACACTGGGATACCAGGAGGAAGATTGAAGGGGACAGAGGGGAAGCATAAGCCACAAAAAGCCTGTCTATACAGTAACATCCCAAACCATGTATTCACAGGTCATTAATGTGTCATGCAAACTGTCTGCACTGGCTGGTTAGAATTTTATGTTGACAAAACAAGGTGCTGCTTATCATAAAAACTATAAAACCCTTAACGGCCTTCTACTAGGTTGATAAGGACTGCTTCTTCTGCTTGGTCTGTTCTGATTTCTTAAGATAAGGAGTGAATTTCCTCCCAAACTACAGCTCCCACTGTCTTGGCCTTCAGAAAAAATTCAAAGATGAATCTTTTTTGTTTTCAATTGTATACCAATCTGACATCTTTTTACGTAGATGAGGTATTAAATAAATGGGAATTACAAATAATGAGTAAGACCCATAGCAAGAGCCCCTAGGGTTACCATTTTTGCACCGAGTTCAAACAGTGACAGCATACCAGGAGGTGCTTCTAGCCCTTGCCTCCAAATGTTCAACACCCTTGCCAAAGCGAGTTTCTTCAGCATCTTTCGTAAAACTGGCAGCCACATTTAAACTACTACCATTTCTAATCAATGTCTTTGTAAATATTGCATTGATTTTGAGAGTATGGTTTTCATTACAACTTTGGTTTATCCCAGAGCCAGAATTCAAATAAACTGAAGTTAACAAATTACATTAAATGCTGAAGAAAACACACTCAGTTAAACTTACCTTTATACATCAAGCATAATTTTCTTAATACATCATCATAAATTAAGGTGTGTGTGTGTTCCACAATGAAGATAAATAAAAATGAATTGCTTTTGTAAAAGTAATGATTCAGAAAATAGGGGGTGTGTGGGCTGACAGCAATTGTCAGGCCTCTTGGCCCCATTCTGGCTCAACAAATGGACTGGACAGTTTGTAGTTCTGGGTCAAAAAGATTAACATGAATTATTAAGCTCGGAACAGTTTCTCAGGCCACCTGCAAATATTTCAAGGGCATCTTATGAGGAGATAACCTGTTATGATTAGGGAAGAATTGTTCTTAAGAATCTTCCATGTTCTCAAAGTAGCTGGATTGCACTGAGAATGGTGCATGAGAATAAATGTTTACTACCTTGGATTAATAAAGACTGCACACATTCCATGCCAAACACATTAACTTTACATAGAATGAAAATGTGGCAGGGTATGTTTAAATTTCAATCGCTAGTCCCATTGACACATCTGCTGTAATATGCTACCCCCTTCTGTTTTAAGAAATTGCCACTTCTATGTGTTATATTGGTCTTTTTGAGCTATTTTTTCATATTTAGGATATTCCTACACTGAAGAGACTGCAATACAGCAATTTCCAGGCAAATAATCTTAGTTTTGGGAATGTACAAAGGAGGGAGGTATACTAAAGTTCAAGATGGCAGAGGATGAGGTGGCTAGGTGGAGTCACTGAAGCAGTTGGTGTGACTTTGAGTGGACTCCGGGAGAGGGTGGAGGACAGGAAGGCCTGGAGGAATGTTGTCCATGGGGTCGCGATGGGTCGGACACGACTTCGCGACTAACAACAACAACAAAGTTCAAGAAAGTTTTCCATTTGCAAACAGTGCAGGTAATATTGTTCAATATGCATTTGAAATAACTGCAGTAGAGTCACAAAAAGGCTGCATGAGCTGTTAGCACTGCAATTTCAATGGTTTCTGGAATGCACAATATGTTTGTGGAGAAATAAAACAGGAAATCAGACCAATGCAGGGCAGGTATTCATTCAAGAAAACTTACAAGGACTGGAGCCCGCCAAGTCCCCTGATGGCCTCATTGGGAATGGTTTTCAATTGATTGTTCTGCAGCATGCTGTTTAAAGAAGAAAATAATAGCATCAATATTGTAAAGAGATTTGGGAAATTAGAGATTCAGTACAATTTGTTCCTGCTATACCTCCTGCATGCATCGCCTCCCACATTCTGGAATTCTGACACAGTGTAAAATAAATAACACCTCTCTGGCTAGAAACACTCTTATATCCTCTTCTAACCATGTAACATCCATATATCTCTAAAGCTCTCATTCCAGCAAGCCACAAAGAAAATCCGACTGAGAGGTGAGGAGAGATGCAACCTGTATTCTAGTGGTCAATTTCTTTACCTCGAAACATGGGTATCCTTGCTGAGCAATCAAAAGCTCCGAGGAACATTAGTAACACGTCTCTGCATACACAGAAAACTGAGTTAATTTGTGGTGACCATTTGAGACTGAACTATGTGGAAAGTGACCTGTACAAGAAGCAGGCTGTAATGGTTTCCGGTGATTTTCAGCTTGCCATCAGAAACAGTTTTCAGGTAGCATCATTAAAAACAAGCAAGCAAACAAAGAAGCTAACAAAGAAACCACGCTGAATGTTGCTGCACCCAAAGAACCTGCTACAGAGCAACTTTCAAGTGCTTCTAACGCAAGCTGTCACTATAGCACTCTGTACCTGGATGCATAACCCTTGGAAACGTGTAGTCTCCAGTTAAATGCAGCAATAACAATTTAAACAAAGTCGTTATATTCTTCTCTTCTTATTTAAGTATGTGAAAGATTAAGCCTGCATTAGAATTATGAAAAATGTGACTAGGTTATACAAGGTTTTTCGCATTACTGGCTGTGTGCTGCCTGGAAAACTAGAACAAAATACACAATTCTGCTAATTCTATCAGTGAATATGCTGACTGGACAAGAAAGAAGCAGAGAGTTGTCCTGTGAAGCTCTGAAATTTGATTACTTACAGAACTTTGAGTTCCTTCAACCCAGACAAGGCCTTTGGATGAATAAAAGCAAGGTCATTGCCAGCCAGCCGTCTGGAAAAGATTGCAATAATAATAATAGACTATAAAATACAGCACATTTCTATTTGTCCAATAGATTAAATCATCAGTGCATCAAAACATTCAAGCAAATGACATGCTTCAAATTAGATTATGGCACATTTGCCCTTCAAATTCATTAGCATTCACTTGACTCGTGTGTTTTAAAGACTTAAAACTGAATGGAGTTATCCCATTTAAGTAACACGCTTCAAACCACAGTCACCACCACATTATAGCTTGTAGCCTACTGCTGCAATTCCAATCTAGATATTTATGTATTTATGTATTTATTTTTCAATTTATATCCTGCCTTTTTCCTATAAAGGCCTCAAGGCAGCTTACATCATTCTCCTCCTCCCTCTTATCCCCACAACAACAACCCTGTGAGGTAGGTTGGGCTGAGAGTCTGTGACTGGCCCAAAGTCACCCAGTTGGCTCCATGGCTGAGTGGGGACTAGAACCCAGATCGTCTGAGTCCCAGTCCCATGCTCTTAACCACTACACCACACTGGCTCTCCCCAGTGTAGCCTAAAAGTATTGTAGCCTAAAAGTTCTTAGACCAAGAAGTCACTCTTGAAAGGCATTGAGGGATGGGATAGCATTCCTGAGCCAGGAACATCACAACTATTACTGCACGAAGGCAAAAATTCCATGTTTAAAAGTTACATGAAGGCTACTTTACAGTATTTACAGTATTTGCATTGTTTTACTCTACTTTACCTCTTCCTCAATTTAATCTTACTATTTCTTGCCCCATTTTCCTGCATACCACAATTTGATCCTTGTACGTTCTCAATGACTGTAGTTTAAACAAACCACAGTAACCCCCTCCCCACCCCTGCTTTGGAACTATTGCTACATTAAAACCAAAAGTGGAAGCTCTCAATCTACTCCTTGTGGGCATGAAGCGGGAGACGAGCAGGAGCGCAAGCTTAAGGTTCACTGCAACTTCTTCATGAAGCAAGAAACCATGGCTTCCTATTATGTCTGGGTCAGGCTAGTCGTATGATTTATGTATGATTATTCCTGCACAGGAATAGTCTCCAACACACCCAAGCACCCAGCAGCAGAACAGAAACAGCTCTGAAAGAGAATTACCCATTTATCTTTTTTGTGTATTCCCTTAAACGTTTATTTTGTGATAAGTCTTTGCTATCATGGCGTCTACTGCTAACGCTTATGACACTAAATGTTTTATTTAGGCAAGAGATAAGAAAACTATGAGCACCTTGTAATGCCTTGCTGCCAACATGAATAATTTTCAGCTAAATTAGTTGCTTTCTTGTTTGCTGTAATGTCTGGGCTGAGAACTGAAGATGCTAGTACAGATTATAGGGTACAACTGGAGGAAAATACAATGAGAGTGTTTGTTCAAAGTAGGTTTTATTGCATTTAGAGCCTGCAAACAAAAATGTAAACCAATTTTCAGCTCCACAGATGCATGAAGAGATACACCAACAGGACAAAGACTTGTTTTTCTAAAGAACTGGGGATGGGGAAGGGGAAAAACTACTTAGTAGTAGTTTTATTCTACTTATTTATTGTAAACCATCCCGAGACATTCTGTAGGGGACAGGATAGAAAAGCTTTTAATCAATCAATCAATCAATCAGTCTTCAGGTTTTCTTCCAATAAACTCCAGTAACATCTGAGGCAATGACTTGTTACCAGTACAGATGCTCCAAATGACTTGTACCATCAGGACTTTAATCCTGTCATTGTTTTTTTTACATGTATCCCTTACAAAAAGAAGTCAGAGCTTGAGTATGGTTAGAGGGTCATTGGGCTGTTCACACAACATGACAGCTCTCCATGGGTTATTTTGAACAAATACTTAGCTCCATACACAGTACCCAAAGTCTAGTCAGGTTCAGTTTCATTTACAAAGTGCTGATTCTTTTTCATGGGTTATTGCCAAGGCTTATTTAACCCACAATGAAGCTGTGGCTGAGGCAGCCACCATTTTGCATATGCAAACCCTGCTCACATAGTACATACTCACTATACCTGAACAACATGGCAATCCCTGGGTAAGGGTTCCATGTGTAACCTGAAGCTGCAGCTCATTTCCAGTTAAATAACCCACCATCAGCCATGGCATGTCATCTAAATCCAGAATTTAAAAAATCACATTTCTTCTCAGCTAACATTACCTCTCTCTCTTTAAATCCAAAATCTTACCATTTTGCAACCATTGATGCCATGATTCAACGGTAATCTATCCCTCCCTAAAAATGAATAAATGAATAAAAATGACCCTGCACATCATCACTAAACTGAAGCTGATTAAACTTCAGGTGATATACCCAGTTCTATATGACTAAAATGTAATTAAAATATATTTTCTTTGCTGGACTGTGATGAGGGAGAATTAAGTCCAAATATCTGCTTAGCACAGAGTTTACTGGATACTTAGAGAATATTGCTCTCTTTCAACATAATCTCACAGGGTTGTTGTAAGAATAAAGAGCAACACAATTTTGCTTAAATTCCAGTGGCCTAAGACCCCTTTATTCTCACAACTGTGCAAGGTTAAAGTTAAGAAAGCCTTGCCCAAGGTCACAAGTAAGCTCGCTCGCTCAGTGATAAGCAAGAATACAGAGTGTCTCTCCCCATCAAAGTCCATTTTTCTAACTACTCGTAGAAAGAATCACCAGACTTCACATTTCAGCAGCTCACTAAACTCAAGCCTACCCATTTCCACCTAGGACCTACCTAGACCATTTCCTGCCCTTCCACAGAAGCTTATCAAGATGAGTTGGCAGCTGATTACACAAGGCTGCCAATGAGCCTTTTCTGGGGTGGGGTGGTGAAGGATGTCAATAAACTGCCCTAAGAGGTGTTTAAAGAATTTTCTGTTCTTACAGCTTATTACAATGGCATGGAGCTATTGTGATTTATTGTGATTTAAAAGGATGGAGTCAACTCAACAGGACTGAACAAACTTCACAGGTAAGGAAGTGAGGGGGCTAGAGAATTGGAGCCCATGGAGATCCAAGTCAGGTGAGAGTTAGTGTGTTGGGCAGAAGAAGATCTCAATGGTTATACAAAATTAGGGCTGGTTAAGATTTTTATTTCAATTGGTTTCAAAATTTACCAGAGCTAAAGGGGTAGACTGCAAAAGAGAGAAAATCTGTGAATTAATATTTTCACACCTGAACCTTGAACTGAAAGTAATCTTGAACCTAAGGCAGGATACGTGGCCATATTTTGGATATGAGTTCAGAAAGCATGCTTCATTTTCAACAAAATGTTAGAGATGGAGACCGATTCTTGTTCAAAATATGCTCAGAATTGCTCCATACAATATATTTAAGCACACCTAAGTATGTGCTTAAAACAGGGATATACAGGGAATATATAAGGAAAGGTTTGTAGAGGGTTTGACTTCAGAGAGTGAATCTAGAGCCTCAAGGCAGCTCCTTTTTATTCAGTCTGTTGCAACCAACCAACAGAAAACTGCAATCCGCTACATTTCTGTTTCTCCTCAATCTGGCAGGCATCCAGGAAACAGGATACAACTGGCCAAATGTGCAAAATCTTTTCCAAGTCAGTTTGACAAAAACACAGTCATCATTAATACAGCAGCTTCTAGGAGGAGTTAGGCAAAGCTTTTCCAGTAGAATAAAATGAAAGTATCTAACACTGTTCTGGGAACTGCACTTTAATCACTCTTATGTTGCAATGGTCAAGGTGAAGATCTATTTGTTCATTTCAGTATTAGTCAGAATAAAAACATTCCCCAACAAGGTGCTGACATATTTTTTTATGTTACTAACCAGTTATATTGTGATGGGAACTAGTTGCAACAAGGCTTGGACATACCAAGTCTCCCTTCTTTCCGATACAAGAAGGCAAGTGGAAGCTTTATTTCCATTTTTTATTAACCACAGCTTGTCATTTTATTTAATTCCTGTGAAGTGTGGATAATCTTAACATCAGTCTGTCTGGAACAAGCCAACTTCAAATCATGGTCCATCAACTGTTGGAATAGAAACAGGGCCAATGTTGCTTTTTCTCTCCCTATAATGGTCTTACTGTTAATTTATTATTGTGTTTTTATATTGTTTTTATATGTTTTTATTGTTATAACCTACCCAGGGGACTGTGTGGCTGATAGAGAAGGCTAGAAACCGAATAATAGAGTTGGCCCTGACTTTTCCATTATTTTGCATTGTCTCAGCCATGCTACATGGTCTGTCAGCATCTGAGATTCTGCCAGTGTGTGAATTGCTAGAAGAGTGGCATTCATAGGTATTGTACTATCAAATTCAGCAAAAAGGCATAAGGGTAAGGAGTTCAAAGAGCCAGAAGATGTGTTATGTGAGTTGCAAGAGAGGTGGAAGTGTTAAGAGACATTTGAAAGTGCAAAAACAAAAGATTAACAGAAGATAGGGTAAAAAGGAAATACAGGATTAAAATGTTTCAAAAATGCTTTTCTACTTCTGAAAAGTGTGGCTCCTTGAATAAATAAAAACATAAATTTGGCCCTTATGGAACTGTAATTCCTCTGCAATGAACCCCCATGACCATTGTGAGGTGGTCAATCAAATCATGAAGGGTTCAATTCTGATTTAGTAATTGGTCACTTGAATGCTTTGAAGATAAAGGCACAGTTTGCTATGTAGTGGAAAATAAGAGACCTGCACAAATGTGTCTGCATGATTAGTTCCTGTCCATTCCCCACAACCCCCAAAATGAAAGCTTTGGTTGCTTTCCCTCAACTATCTCCAAAGGGTTGTGCAGCAACTGGTCTATATAGCAATTCAAAACAGCCACATGGAGGTTGTCTGCAAAAGCCTACACAATGTTATTATTTCACATTGCAGACAGCACAATACAGCCGTTTAAAATGAAGTTCACTATATGGGTTCCCCCAAGCAGGTGATGAGCTTCCATGCTACCAGTATGGCTGCTAGGTACATTTAGCTCTACAGAATGGGCTAAGAACAGAAAAAGAGCTGCTCTGGATCAAGCTTTTTAAATCCGGC